TGTATGTATGCAACAAAGAAGACATAGGAACCATGTATATTTATGTGTTTTCATCTATATAATTAAATACAATCTCGTTAATTAGAGGATTATCACAGTACGTACCGAATCATTTCGTCCAGGGAGATGACCCCATCATGGTTGTAATCGTACAAGGCAAACGCCGCTCGTACTTTATCTTCTCGTCCGCCTCCACTACCACACAAATGTCAATATAGTTCATTTCAATATATATATATATATATATATTAAAAATTGCCCAATTCCATACTTACCACAGCAAACTCAACCCGGCCGTGAGCTCGGCATAATCGACAGTGCCGTTACCGTCCGTGTCGAAAATATCAAACAAGCGGTGGACTACCGCCAACGCTCGGGTGTCGTCGGCCCCACTGGACAGAAAATGCACCTGAAAACACTCGGTAAATGCGAGTTTGGTCAGAACGCCACTGGCATCGGCGCAGTCTGCAAGCAGCTCCAGCACCACATCTGGGGCATGGCGCTCCAGTTGGGTGACGCGGCGGGCTTCTTGGAGGGAAAACCCCATGTGAAAATTGTTGTCAGGTATAGGACGAGGATCGTCAAGCACGGCGGTTGTGTTGTGGGGGCTCGAGTACCAGCTACACAAACAAGGCTCATACGGTTTCTATACATGATGAACCCACACAGAGAGAGAGGACATAAAAGACTACAATCAACACACACACATATATATATATATATTTGCATCAACATGGATTGACGTTGAATATATATATATATATATATATACCATCAACGAACGAATGGAACACTCGACTGTATCTCGAATACAAACAACATACACCAAAACAAGGACTGGTGAAAACACCAAATATGCCAATATAAATATATTTATTTATATATTTATCAATATATATATATATATATCAATATATATATATATATCGATAGGTACCGCTTAAACTCGTCCAGACGGATGCGGCCGTCGGGGTTGAGGTCGACGTGGTGAAATGCTTGGGCGGCCGTGACAGTCGCGAGCTCGACGGGTGAAACGCCGTTCAACTGACGGGGCTGGTCGGACAGCTCAAACAATACGCGGAATACGCTGGTCAAATACTGAGTCATTTCCTCTAAACTGATGGATCCGTCGCCGTTCAAGTCGAAGAGCACGAACGCCGCCTGCACTTTGTCTTCTTTCGACCCTATGTCGAGTTGGATGTTTCAGCAAAACAATACTATATATATATATATAAACATTCTAATAGAATACAGTGATCGCATCCCGGCGAATGAGAAGCAAATTCCCATGGAGTATACATATATATATTATATATTGGATACGTTGATGCTGTTGGGAATTTATATATATATTCCCAACAGTATCAACGTATCCAGTGTGTGTGGATCACACGTTTTCTGTACAACCATATGTGTGCATACAACAACCCGACCTCCCCAAGGTATGGATATACGTACGTCCACAAGACACATATCATATACGATACCCTAAATATATATATATATATATCATCCTCTGTAGTATATATATACATATATATCATTGATGCAGCCAACCTGCACACAAGATGGACAGCCCTGCCGAGAGCTCTGAAAAGTCGACCCGACCGTCCTCGTTCGAGTCAAACAGGGCAAACAACCGGCGTAGGAACTGGGTTTCTGTCGTGTCGTCTTGTGATTGGTCGGCACCGGTGCTCATGTCGTGTTTTGATTGGTCGGCACAATTGCCCATGAGATATCGAAAACACTTGTCAAAGCCAGCCTGGTCGAGGTGGCCATCGTCATGGGCAGCTTGGGCAAACAGTTCAAACACGACTTGTGGGCGATGAAACATGAGCTTGGTATGGCGGCGGACCGCGTCCAGAGTCCACGGGACCTCCCGTTTCGGAGCAACTTTAACATCACATAACGACGCACAAGTGTTTGGCTCGTGCTTGGCAAACCACGCGGCAAACTCGGCTAAGCTCAGTCGGCGGCTGTCGGGTTGGAAGGCGAACGCCTCGTCGGCCGTGAGCTGCCCCAGCTCGACCGCCGACACGCCCGTGTCCGCCGCCATGTTTGGATGGAGCACATACAGAACCCGGAATACCGCCGTGAGGTACCGAGTCATTTCATCCATCGAGATGTATCTAAAATGAACAAGAAAATATATTAACCAATAGACACTGACCACGTTCTTGGCAACAATATTCCAACATGGGCGGTATTGAATATTTATATATATATATATATATAAATTCAGACGAATACGATTGAAATACAATAGATACATGACAACCAGACGAATTGAAACAATACTACTACCCACACCAACAACGATGAGACATGATTTATCGTGTCCGACATGAGAGATATATCCAACAGTCTTGGAATAACAGAACCATTTATATATAATATATATACAAAAAGGCTACAACATACACACATACTAGTACAGAAGACCAGTTATCGTCTGTACAACCGTATCACATATACATACAATATATATATACAAATCAATTCAGCACCTTCCACTTTATTCCCCCTTGGACGTATGTATGTATATATATATATATATATATATATATGGTAATGTTTATTCTAAACTGGAGAATGAATCGACATATATATTACACAAGAATCAACGGCAGAAGGATATATGTAGCCAATCCGATTGGAGGAAACAACCATCCTCAACGTCGAATTAGTGTATGACTTCAATTAGTGTGATACCAATTCACCACAAGAGGACACGTTTTTACATACAAAATTCAGCAATACAAAAAGAATACATCCACAGATTTGGCGGCGAATCAGCAGCACAAATGTCTCAAATCTTAAAAGACAGATAATATATATATAATATATACACGTACCCGTCGCTGTTGTAATCGTAGAGCGAAAACGCGGCTTGCACTTTGGCTTGTCGGGTGCCTTTGCACAGCACACTGAGCCCCGCCGCGAGCTCTGCAAACTCGACGCGGTCCTGATCAAATGCGCGGAAGAGGGCGGTGGCGACGGACGCGAGAAGCGGCGGCACATGGCCGTGGAATTCGGCGGCCAAGTTGGTCAGACACACGGCAAAGGCGTCGAGGGTCACGCAGCCGCCAGAGTCGACGGCGTCGTCCGCGCAGTCGGCCAAATGCTCGAACGCATCCTCCACGTCCAGGTACCCCAGCGCCGTGATGTGGCGGATTTGCTGCAGTGACAGTGGTAATGCAGACTCGGGAAGAATCGCATTCTTGTCGTCTTGAGTGTACCATCTACCCATAGAATCAATCATTCTCCGCCTTCAATGCAAACAAAAATCCCCTAGAGGGTACAACTTATATATATATATATATATATATATATATATCGCCACGTCGTATGATCATGATCATCACATATAGTGTGTGTATACATACATTTTTCCATGTTTTCGCACCACTGGTTTCATTCAATGAGAAAACCAAAACATTGTCTCGAAATAAAATAAAAATACAAAAACATCATTCGATTCATCTATCAAACAAAAAAAAGTAAACAATAAAATAAACAGAGATCAAAACAATCCATCCATACTGTAGCCGCCATACACACCAACACTCCTCGATATATATATTCATATATTATATTATTGGGTACCTTTGAAACTCGGCCAAACTGAGCGTGTGGTCATCATTCGTGTCGGCATTGTCCATCGTGTGTTGAGCTGTGATACGAGCCAACTCGGCCGGCGATACATTCCCTGTTGTCATTGCTGTTGGGGGCTCCACCACGTACATGACAGCAAATACCGCCGTAAAGTACCGCAAGAGCTCATCCGCCGACAGCGCCAAGTCTCCATCTCGATCCATGAGGCTAAAGGTCGCGCGGACTTTGTTCTGGTCGTTGGTGAGCACAGACAGTCCACACGCCACATCCTGGTAGGTCAGACCAGGCACGAACGACGCGAACGCACTGGTAAGAGAGGCAAAGAGCCTATATTGGACGAGGGCGGTGGCTTTCTTGGCTTCGTTAGTCGAGTGCAGGAGCAGCTTATCAAACAACGCCGTAAACTCCTTCTCCGACGTCACAGGGGCCGACAGCCGATCGCGACACAAATCCACCAGAGCATCAACGGTGAGATGGCCCAAATCTATACCCAAATACAGTGTCAACACAAATATATAACTCTAAAAACCAAAATTGAATGGATAATATAAATATCTGAAAGACATCTATGGATTATTTTAACACGTATATCGAAACACAAGTGCAAAACCAGGGCGGTGGACACCTCAAACCGACCAAGAAAGTCCACAAGGGATACCGTGGTTTCCATATATATATATATATATATAAATAGGTACGACAACATGTATATCTATTTATGTCGTTGTTCCCGTCGTGTCCTTCCTTGTATGTGGATATATATATATATATATATCTGGGGGCCAACACCCAAGTCGAATTCAACCAATGGAACAGCCAAAAATGTAATATGCATTATGCGCCACTGCGGCGCTTACCCAACAACTCGCGGGTACGGGTCTGCGACAGGGGCGGCTCTTGTTGGTCACTTTGCTGTTTGAAGGACGATACTTGGTCACTTTGCTGTTGTTTGGACGGTATTTGGTGGTGGTGCTGCTGCTGGTACCACGCCGTGAACTCTTCCATGCTGAGCTTGTCGTCATGGTTCACATCGCATGTGGCAAACGCCTGAGACGTGGTGGCGACGGCCAACTGAGACGGTGCGACGTGGTGCAATTGGGCTTGCAGAGCCGGCGACGTCTGCAGCAGCACTTTGAACACGGACGTCAAGTACGCCACCATTTCGTCGCGCGAGATGAAGCCATCGCCGTTCGTGTCGTACAGGGAAAACGCAGCTTGAACCTTGTCTTGGTGGGTACCCTAATATATAAAGAAATCACATATTATATAGAGAAATCACACATCTTGGTACTAGGCATTGTTAAAGGACTCGAGGCACACATCCACGATATATATATATATATATATTGCATTGATTCACGACACAACCACCCAAATGTACAATAGACTCGGTAAAAGAAGAATTGAGCCAATCAGATGGCAGGAAACCATATATATATATTCTCCACTTGAAAGAATTCGTGTATACAAATGTGGCGCATGACTAAAGGCCAAAGTTTAGGTAATAATAATAATAAATACGCACTACACATGGCCATATTATTCGTAGATCCCAAATCAGTATAACACAATATCACGTCTCCATCTATCTCCATGCAAGTTTGACCTCATATAACGTCACCACTTGAACAAGCTATCATTCAAATAGGACAAGATCGACTTACGTACCCCACAGAGCAAACTCAGCCCGGCGGCCAGTTCCTTGGTGTCCACGACGCCATTGCCGTCCGAGTCAAACACAATAAACAATTGGTCGAGCGTGGCTTTGAGTTGCTGGGGCGGCGGTCGGCTCGTGTCTTCGTCCACCTTGCTAAGCAACTTGTTGAAGCATCTGAAAAACTGCGCCTTGGTCAAGTGGTTCTTAGCGCCGTCGGTGGCGCTGGCTTGAAAGAACGAAAAGATGTCGGCCACGGCGTACTGCCCCAATCGGGTCACGCGACGCACATCTCGCAAACAAGCCAAGTCAAATGGCTGGGTACTCAAAGTGGGTGTCGTCGTCTGGTACCACGCTGTAAACTCGGCCAAGCTAAGCTGGCCGTCGTGATTCGAATCAAATCGAGCAAATGCGTCGGCGGCGGTCGCGTCGGCTAGCTCCATAGGCGGCAATTGGGGCAAATCCGACCCAAATGCATAGATGACTCGAAACACTGCCGTGAGGTAGCTCACGAGCTCGGGATGGGAGATGAACGAGTCCTTGTTGACATCGTACAAAGTGAACGCCGCGTGGACCTTTTCTTCCTGAGACCCCGCGCACAGCAGCGACAGCCCCGAGCTCAACTCGCAAAAGTCCACCACGCCATCCCCGTCCCCGTCGAACGCGCGAAATAGTTGATCCACTACCTATAAATAGAAAAAAGGTATACCACAACAACTATACCACTATCGTCAACTATGCAACTATATATATATATCACCATAGGATGCATCACCATCACATATATATATATATATATTGGATGAGATTTCAATATTATCCACGTTTCCAAGGCAAACAAAGCAATGATATCAAACAGTGTCCACGATCACCACCACCAATGATAATAATATTAAAAAACAATGGAATAGATCAATAATGGATCGAGAAATGTATATATAAAAGGCCACCACCAACTTCGATATCAAAAAATGCAAAAAGTATGTAGAAAAATACAACCATCGATACACGAATCAAATGCATATATATATATATATATATATTCGTATACTATTAGTACTCCTACCAGTCGAGCTTGGGCGGGGGGCGTCGTGGAGCCGTGGAGAAGGTGAGTAAATGCATGATCGAACGCTGTCTTGGTGAGCACTCCGTCGGCATTCACGTACAGCGCGACGACTTCAAATACGTCCAGGGGATGTCGCCAGTTCAAATTGGTCAAGATACCCACGCGCTCCAGTGCCGTGCTGTTGGAAGAACGAGCGATGGGACCTTTTGACGGCAATTGGTGTTGATGGGCAAGTCGAATATGGCCAGGAAACAAGGGCGGCGGCGTCGGCAGGGCCGTCGTGGGGGGTGCCGCTGCCGTGTACCTATATCCCATACACATTGTCACAAACATATGGGGAGGCTGCACGTACAAACCCACAAGAAATCATCAAATGGCCAATCAACACAAAATACTCTCACTTCCCCATCGAAGTCGTAGAGTCTTATTATATATAGTCATATCTATAAATATATGGTATATCAGGTCAATGTTTTCAGTCACAAGACCGTCCAAATACACAATCGATCGATAGAGGTTCCAAGAAATACTACTACGCACACCAACAATATCCAAACGTCATCTACCAACAATTGTCTCCATCGTATATATATATGTATAAATATATATATATATATATAAACGCACCATGCGTAAAACTCATCAAACGAAATCTTTCCGTCGTGGTTGAGGTCAGCCTCGTCAAACATATTTTGCGCCGTGAGTGCCGCGAGGACGTCGGGCGCCACGGGCACATGGGCGTTGGTCACGCCATGGAGCACCCGGAACACACAGCGGAGGTACAGCGTCATCTCTGGCAGGGAAATGTGGCCGTCGCCGTTCGAGTCCATCAAGTTGAACGACGCCCGCACGCTGTTTCCATCTATGCACACAACACATTTTTTATGACTTGTGGATTTATATCACGTCGGGTTTGCTACACTCGATAGTCTATATATATCAGCATACGGGAATATGAACGGATGCTGGAGATTGTACAACATATACAAAAGCTACCTACAAGTATATATCTATATATAGATATAGATCCATTCAAATAATACGACAAGAAACACAAATGGGCAAAGATATATATATATATTTGCCCATTTGTGTTTCTTGTCGTATTTGTATATATATAAATTCTCACACAAGGTCAATCAACTCACGAGGCGATGATAAGTAGATCCTCCATCATCCCCAACATCTGGTCGTCGTTGTCGTCAACCCATCCCTTTTTGTGCTCATATTGTACAAATATATATATCAAAACATACATATATATATATACATATATTTATATATAGATAAATTCAATCGCAACGAAATTTGTTTACATGGATCGGGGTGGCAGAGCACAGAAAGGCCAATTTTGAGCTCCAAAGCGTTGAGTACACCGTTTTGGTCGGCGTCGAACAGGCCAAAGAGCGTGCGCAGGAGGGCGGAGGTCTGCACGGTCACGGGTTTGCGCTGGCGCTGCAGAATGCGCTGCATGGTGGCCAAGAAGTCCGCTTCCGTCACACTCATCGAGTTCGGAAACCACAAGAGCATCTCGTCCACGGTGTAGTCGCCCAGCCCTGTTAGGTCGCGCACGGCACTCAACGTCCATTTGACCTACAGGCGGGAATGAGTGCTGTCTGCGATATATCAGACAGTCTAGTAGGCAACGATATATACAACAAACAACACTCTGGATATGCTCACAACACATATATATATATATCGAAATATCTACACGACAAGTCCATCCAGTCTGACACCCCAAACGATGAAACAACCTCACACCACATATGTATATTTATATATATATATATATGGTGGAGTACAAACCTCACACCACAAATATATATATATATATAAATGGTGTGATTTGTTCCTTAATATGCTCACAACATATATATATATATATATCGAAATATGTACACGACAAGTCCATCCAGTCTGACACCCCAAACGATGAAACAACCTCACACCACACACACATATGTATGTATATATATATATATATGGTGGAGTACAAACCCCACACCACATATGTATATATATATATATATAAATGGTGTGATTTGTTCCTTAACCCTCACACCACACTATATATATATATATATATATGGTGTGAGGTTTGTTTCATCGCTTGGGGTGTCAGATATATATATGTATAACAGATATATATATATAACATATATATATGTATAGCAGATATATATATTATTATACCTGCAATGGCTGGTGACGTTGCGATATATCGTGTTGTTGCTTTTTGAGTTTGCGGGCGTGGGGCTGGTGATTATGGAGGTGGGTTTTACTATACCACGTTTGAAACTCGGCGTAGCTGAGGCGTCCGTCGTGGTTGACGTCGGCGTCTTCAAAGCACTGGGCGGCGGTCACGTGCCCCAGTTGGATCGGGTCCACATGGTTGGTCGCAAACACATCCGGATTGAGCTCGGCCACCACGAGGTACACGGACGTGAGGTACGTCGTCATGTCGTCGCGCCCGATGAACCCTGGCGTCGCATGGTCGTACAGCGAGAACGTCGCTTGGATCTTATCGTCGCGGTCGCCGGGGACGAGCACCGACAGACCCGACACGAACTCGACGACATCCACCACGCCGGTGCGCTCCTTGTCAAACACGTCGAACACTCGAGACAGTAGCGCATACCCGTTTTCGTCGTCGGGGGCGGAGGACGACGACGACGGCACCAACGACGGCAGTGTCTTGTGGAACGTGCTCCGGTCCAACGCACCTGCAACGAGTCACCGTTAGATATGATCCAAGAAACGAGGATAAATCGACGAACCGGTCGGCGCTGCGTGACGGAAAGCACGGATCAGTTGCGGCAATGTAAACTGCGTCAGCTCGTGGGGTCCGTGGGCGTGCCAACCCACACGCACGGGACGCGTCAGTTCCGAGTACGACACGTCGGGGTCCCCCAAACACACGAGTTCGAACGACACATGCGCTGCTTCCTTCTTAGCGCGGCTAAATGTCGACGGATGGTGCGCAAGAAGAGACAGCGGGAACAGAGTGTTCGCTTCGTTCTTCAGAGCGATGGGGGTCGTGTTCACATGAGGGAAAATCGCACGCAGACACCCGTACAACTCCTCGAGCGGCATATCGGGGTGCAAAAGTAAGTCCCGCACCGTACCGTGCCGCGAGATAGCTACGCGGCACACCCGGCTGATGTCTAGACGGGAGGTTGAAGACGCTGGCGTGACGACGGCCTCGTCCACATCGGCGTCTCTGGAGCGCCATGCGGCCGCGGACGCGGCTGCCCGACGCGACATGCGCGCAGAACGGAACGCGCTCGGACCACCGCCGCCAAAGCTCGTCGTCGGCGGTGGACGGAGTGTTGTCGAGGTCGGCTCCCCTTTCATCGTAGTCCCAGGATTGTTTTTGTGCGACGCAAGATTTCGCAGGGTATCCGTAAGCCATCCGGATATGAGTCCCACTCCGGATACCGACGTGAGGTCACGATTCATGATGGTGAGGAATATACTGCGATGCAAAAGGTTACTGTAACCACTAGGTTTTTCTTGATTGATTTTTTGTTTGCTGTGAATTAAATTAAGCTGAAAGTATGCATTGATTTGTATTTATAAAATTAATAATATACAAAAGTAGAAAAAATAAACATTAATACAATAAAACCACACATTTCTAGCTTTGAAGCATGGCAAAATTAGAAAATGTCAGTGAGAAATGAAAAAAATGAAGTTTTACCACCGATGCAAAAGGTTACAACCCCTTCGAGTGCAGAAGGGTTGAGACCATAAAGCGATTGACATGATACAATGTATTCATGGATTTTAAGCTCCAAGTAGTTTGTGATCATTCCTTTACAGGCCAGAACCGCGAGATATCCCTATTTCATGCTCAGGGTGAGAGGACTTGGAGGTAGAGAACCTCGAGGCAATTTCCGTGATGGGTGATGGCAATCTTGACCTCCTGTTTCGAGTTGTACTGCTGCTTACCACCATCATGATCGCTGTAAATCTGATAGCCCCAGGCGTTTCCAATAGAATCTAGGTTCAGGGAGCATGTAAATGTTGTCGGGGATTTTCGTAAGGATCCTCAACGAGCACAAACGTAGTCGTCCCATCAGTCCAAGTGCCCCCCTCCCCCCACGAGAACCCTACAGCAGTTCTGGTTTCGAAGAATACTAGTATTATCAATCCATGTTACTAGTACCTAGTAGTCAGTCCTATTAATAGTATGTAGTACAGTACTACTACGTAGTATGTAGTAGCACTCCCCTTTGTCCCCACCCAAGACGACGTGTGGACAGTGGATCTGACTGCATAGGAAGTTGTATGAAATATGTGTGGAAGCTTCGTAAAAATGATTTCGAGTGATAATTGGTCGGGTCATTCGCTGAAAGTGATGGATGATATTATTTATAAAAATATAGCACGAGACCATGACTCCAGTGTCTGTCTCCCCAGCCGCCAAAGGCCTAAGTGCCTTTCGGATTCGTTCCAACAATGCGTATGTGGGGCATTGTTTGTCTGCAAAAATAGAATCGCTGTGTTCGTCATCTTTTCAGTTTGGTTACTCGAGGAAGTGAGTGGCCTGCAACGGTACAATAACCAGTATGGTCACATTGGTAATTCCTCTGCCGATGGCCAATGGCTACTGTAAATGCTTCACCGGTGCCAAATGCTGATGTGCATTGATTGATTCTTACCATAGTCTGGAGAAATCTATGGAAAATGTCCTTACAGCCAAATAGACATTTGGGGTAGGTGCTATATATTGTCTATATATTGTCGATGGGTCTTTCCTCCGGATACCGAAATTTCTTGGTGCGGGGATTGGTCAAATGAATCTCCGCATCCGGATGATGGATATCTTTCGAATCGCGCGCGTTTTCTCTCATTTTCTGTTCTGCTTGATGGGTCGCAATTCCAGGTCGGGGCAAACGACGGCAGCGGCGGCGGACTTACCATCGGAATTGCCGCGTGTATACTACATTGAAGCAGGTTTCCTGGCAGTGGGCAACTTATTGCGTCCAGGACACTGGGTCAAAGACGAATGCCGCAGTCATTGCAACATATGCATGCAGCAATTTCACGCATTCCGACGCAGACACCACTGCCGCACGGTAACTACCCCATATGCACTCTGCTTATACAGTTAACATGCAAGGTAGTGTGGCGAAGTGTTGTGTCACAGTTGCTCCAAGCACAAGAAGATCCGTCTTCTCCAACTCAACTATGACCTCGGCGTCCGCATCTGTACTTTCTGCGTCATGCAGGCTACAGATGCAACTCAAGATGTCCGTCGACGTTGCAAGGCGCCCTTGATGCGACCTGAATCAAGGGAGACGTTGGCGTGTCGGATTCTAGGGCCCCACGGGGGCAATAATGAAATCCAGGACCTTCCTGAGTGCGTACATTATCTACCATATACTGCTTCTCATGTTACATGTGTCTGTAGTAGCGTCGTTGACGATAAAGGTTCAGATATGACATGGCGTGTTACGTCACAGATGAGCATGTGTCCCGCATGGCCACCCACAGAAGAATGCACAGCCATGTCGATATTGGACTGCGATCGACAAGCAGACACAGTCGCTTCAGGCGACAATACGCTGAATGTGCTTGTCCATCTCGTTGCAAACTCTCTGTTTTGTCACATGGTATACATTGGTATCATCCTACCACGGCCGTTCTCGTCGCCATCCACAACCAACAGTCACTTCCAAGTCAGTATCGGCCTTCCTCCAAGCCTGGTGTCGTCCGACGTGTGCAGCTTGATGTGGTCCCAAGAAGGAAAATACACCGTTGTACTCCACGACACGCTGGACGCTAGCGACGAGTATTGCCCTCCAGCGTTGTTGGCCCACGGCATTCGGTATTACGCCGGTACCCCCATCCACGTTAGAGGTAAAATTGTTATTTCGTACTTTTACCCATGGTATTTTGCTAGGATCGATGGTTGGGATTGTTATGGCCATGGATGTTGTACCGCACACTCAAACGAGTTTGGAGCAGCGCAACACCCTAGAATTGGTGGCGCGTATCGCGGCGGAAGTGCTGGAAGAGCGCGAAGCCGTCAACGAGATGGCCAAGCAACGGCGCCTTAGTATCAACAACGCCAGTCCTTGTCCCGACGAAAGGGAGCAAAGAAATACTTATGTACCAATCAAAGATGACGACGACGTGGTGGATTCGCACGAGCCGTCGACTCTTCCTTCAACGACGGCACCATCGATTGGGGATGAGACGAAAGAAATTCTTGTGACTATGTCGCGTCGACGGCGGCAATCCACGATTTCGAACGTGTTTGACCATGGGATTCACTTGGCCATGACGTTTTATCGCGCGCTATTGCGGAGTGCATGGGAGCTGGAGCGGGAAGTGGACGGCACGAGACTGTTTTCACTCGACGAGCGTTTCGAATGGGGTTACCTCAAAGCGACAAAAGTTCTCCGTGTTGACGGCAAAGCCGACTGGAACAAGATACTAGACCTCCGCCACGTTAAAGTCTACGGGGACATTGTTGCTTCGTCGACAAAGCGCAAAATGCTCGATTTGTACACGACCCTCGACGTCGTTCGGTTTCACCCGGCTACTCTCTCTCGGTCCTCGTCGACTTCCATCCCTGACGAGGTGCAATTGCTCTGCCATCGAAGGCAGTACCCAGGCGGCGCATGGACCATGATTGCAATGGACACGTCGGACATGACGTTCTGCTTGGCTTGGCTTATTTCCCCCCATTCACTCGACGAAGTGTTGGTGTCTGTGGTTGTGCCACACGTTGCCGCCGGACTCACTGACATCCTGCTCGTTCGACTGCTGTCTCGTGTGCAAGAGGTACTCTAAAATGGGTCTATTACAAGCAAGTTCTGATTTTATGGAGTTTTAGGTGACGACGAACATGGGCGATTTACGATTGAGCGCGTGTTCAGGGACTGCCGACATCCTTGAAACTCGCGGGATGCGCGCCTACTCGTGTAGTGTTATCCCAACGACGACGACAAAGCGTGAAGGAAATGGTGCGACAGTCCAAAGGTCACAGTTCTGGGACCTCTTGAGCAAGACGATTCTCACGCAGCAACTGTTGACCCAACAACAATCCAGCATGATGCAAACGCTCAACGAAAACAGCGAGAAACTCAAGCGGCTGTCGAATGCAGTCGACCGCGTTGAGAGTCGTTTGGACGCGAAGGCATCGTAATGGAGTCAAACATAACAACACACAAACCTCTTGTTCTTTGTTTTGCGATTACTCTCGTTCAAATATACATCAAGCATATCTCCGAAATGCCGACGAGGCTTCTACAGGCCGTTGCGGAGAAAGGCGTCGTTTCATGTCAGAGTTTTGCGGTCAGGCCTTTCTTGACAACATCACTGCCAACAAGGAAATACATATCGGGGGTTTCGGAATCACATGGACCCAAACTAGCAAGGACCCCCGTCCTTCCGTCGGTCCCTTCGACCTACCCATGACAATCATCGCATATACATGTAGTACACGATGATGCCTAGTGCCGGCGGCGGCGGTGGTAATCCCTGCATATTCCATCGACGTCTCTCTCGCAGAAGGGACACCCCATGCATCCCTTTCCTCCCTCTCGGCTTGTCGTGCAAGAAAACGGCCAGAAATTGTTGCAAAACGTGAAACGCCCGAAAAGATCCAATTCCGAGATTCAGCCAATCGGGTGTCAAAAAGATCGAATTCTAAAAATATCCACCAATCAAGACGCCGTTTGCCCGAAGATTGCAAGAAACCCCCGAGCTGTCGGCTCTTTTTTTTTCTGCCGCTGCACGCCGCACTCCACGCCCCTCGACACCATTTCAGAAAAGACTCCCGACGGCACAGTACCTTCTGCTCACCATGGACGTCAAAGCCGCCGTACACAGCTTCCACGATCTCGTCAAGGTCATGGAGGACGGCTACAGTCACACCACCCAACACCACCACATGGACCCACGCACGAGCGCACCGTCGTCCACCATAGCCATGGACGGCCTGAAGAAGAAGCGAAAGCTGAAAAAGTGCATTGTCCACGCCTGTACGAGCGGCGCACGATCCCGAGGACTTTGCAAAGCCCACGGTGGTGGCAAACGGTGTGGGACAGGCGGGTGTAACCTAAGCGACCAAGGTGGTGGGTTCTGCATTCGGCACGGCGGCGGCAAACGCTGCGAACACGATGGATGCGACAAAAGTGCCCAGAGCAAACGATTCTGCAAAGCGCATGGCGGCGGCGTCCGATGTGACGTCTCTGGTTGCATCAAGTCGAGCCAAGGCGGCGGAAAGTGCCGCGCCCACGGCGGCGGTCCCAAGTGGATGCGCCCGTCCGGCAGCACGAGCGAAGACGACGCGTCATCTACAACGGGCTCCGAGTCCGTATCGTCCCAACGACCATCGGTCAATTCGTCGTCGACGACCACCGCCACGTCTCGGTTGTCGCTGTCTGTGATTGAAAAGATCAAGTTGAAATCATCGTTGGCAAAAAGTAGCGCCAACGTGGGCACCATGTCCCCGCTGCGAAAAGACATGCCGACCCTCAAGACCCCCGCGGAGACGCTCCTGCGATTCAAACTCCCTCCGCTATCCATCGCCCTTCAAGACAAGCCACAACACGACGCGTCGTCGTACTTTACGCCCACGACGGAAGACGGGTCGTTTTCCCACCCAAACCTGTACGCTTCGAGTGCGGATCATTTGTCCTGCATCTACCTCACATGCAAACAAGACCAAGCGTCCAGCAGTGGGTTTTGTGCGTTCCACGCCGCGCAATTTTGCTGCCAAGTCGCTGGATGCGTCGACAAGCCCGTGCGCGGCGCCTCATTGTGTGCGTCGCACCACGCGTCGTCGACTCTGGCCAAGTGCCTCCTGCATCTGACACACTAGCTGCTACCACCGTATGTAGTAGTCGTAATTATGTGAATGACCCTCGTATTTATGCCACTTCAAGGTCTTGTTGTGCAGTGCTACAAGGGCATCCTTGAACCACCCGCATGTAAATAATCATGTACTTAGTACTACTAACTACTAACTGTACTACAGTAGCAGGACATGTGTGTACGTACGCTGGCGGCTTTATGTGGTAGAAGCGCAGAGGTCGACACGGGACGAGCCAGTCAGTTGTACTGTACTGTACGGCAAGTGCAGGAAAGTTGATCAAAGGTGAGTGGCGGCCCATGCAGTACTACATAAGTCTGTCTTACCAAAGGATCTCGGAACGAACGACCTCTCTTTGAGATACAACTACAGGTAGATCCATCCATTGTAACCGGCTCAGATGTCGGTGTATTGAGGCTCAGGCTGGATGTCACGACGGGGATGATCGATGTCTGATCCAGTCACGGGTATCGTCCCACAATGCTCTGTAGTCATATCCAGCAGACTCGTGAAATGCATGAAGCGAGCGTTGGCTTAGTATACGAATCCATACATTCTTCTCACTCCACCAGTGTATTCAGCCAACAATCGCCAGCTACTGTATGTACAAGCTACCGCTACATTCCAGCTTCTAGTACACGACACGTACTCCCCGTTGGTAGCGACGATGCCAATGCAATCAATTTGTTGCTGTGTCTCTCTGGTTCGCATGAGTTGCTTTTTTGCTCTTACGTTACTTGTAAAAATACTTCGAAGTATTGACAGTATAGTACTACGTCGTACTACTGTAGTAAACTAAGAGCAACGTTATATTCTCAAATTAAATTCCTCCTTCACTCATCGGCAATGAAATTCGACAGACTGGCAATATAATTCCGCCATACGTTGTGTGGGAGAGTCGTCACTTTCCCCTCGTGTGTATACATACAACAGGTAAGGGTTTGCCATACGCTTTAGCAAACACATTTCAGCGCATACATATCCCAGCGTCATAAACTCCCATCTCGTGAGGGAGATTCGACATGTCTGTGCGAATTTCTCATCGTCGATGCTCGCATGGGGACTAAGTATTCCCCCCACTCGACCCCCGATCATACACTGAACCCCCCATCATACATGTACCCTCAACCCCCGATCATACGAACCTTGCCATGTCGACTGTCAGTGACCCCATTAAATTACCAGTTTTAATCGGGCAGGTACTGTAAGTCACTTTGCGCCATCCAGGCTCTTCTGGAGAACCAATCATCGTGATGGCATCGTAGGAGGGGCGATTCCCATCTTGAGAGCATACCGAGTCACTCTTGTCCCCACGACATTCATGCCCAGTCGCTTCAATTCGGCAAACATGTAGCACCGAGCAACATATTCAATGGAGTGATGCCGGAGAATCGGCCATCGCAGCATCAACAAAGGCCGAATTCGTTCGAAAATCCACCTCCAACGTGATATACGTATACTATCCGGATACTTGACCGCATACGAAGTTGTAATGATGACGGATGTCTTCCGTCCCGTCCATGCGGTGACTGGTGTAATTGCCGTGTCATTGCACACTCTCGTCCAGCTCTACGGTACTAATCACCCATCATGGTTGGAAGTCCATGGTCAACTCGTCGCACTTTTGATTTTACCCGTTCCATCCATCACCATCATGTTTCAAAGTGCTCAAGTTATCGTCCCGTCCGACCCCAACTCGATCGTTACCGGCCGCGGCAAGTGCCTCAACTGCCAAAAGGTGTACCTCATCCAAGCCAGTGTCTGCGCTTCCACATACTGCTCACTCGACTGCCAAAGCAACGCCATGTACATGGAAACTGTCCGAGGGCACGTGAAGAGTGCGATGCCCACCACCGACTCTGTGGACGCCTGCTGAACGGACCCTCTCTAAATGGGCCATCCTTGGTCGCTGGCGTTGAGTACGCAATGGCATGCATATCATCAACCACACTTCCCAGGGATATGTCAAGGTCGCTCGGTCCACAAGAGGTTACGAGGATGCGTATTGTACTCGCCTCCTCCATGTCGACAGCAATGGCCCATGCGACTTGACGAAAGCGCAGCACCCCTCGCCGCCGGCCGGCCACTGCCCAATGGATTATGTGTATTGTGTGTAGTCATAGCGTCGTTAACTGTTAGAAATGTACTTTGGTTTGCGGTGGCAAATCGACCGACCTCCTTGTAGCTTTGGATCGTTTTTTCGCCTGAAAACACGCACCTAACGCTATACAGCACATCAAATGATGCAAGATCTTGAGGAAGTATATCCTCAAGATCTTGCATCATTTGATGTGCAGATGAGTCAACCAGAGCTGTCGCAACAATCGCAGCTACAGAAGTGTGATGGATGCGGGCGATCATATCACTTCGACGTTCCATATTTGATGGGTGTATCTAACGGTAAGTTTAGCTACCAGTAGACCTGGACAAGCCAGCCAGTAGAAATGCGATCTACTACGTAGTAGTAATTTGAGTGATTCAACATGAACGTCCACAGCGCGGGCAGTCGGGAGAAGGGACTGGGAGGATTTGCACGACGAACGATGTAGCAGCTGGAAACCACGTGGTGTCGGCCTTATAATCGGAGGAGCGGTATGATACATACTAAGACTTAATCACAACTGTAGTAGTATTACAGTATTTTGGAGAATCCGAAAACTGGAGTTTTCGGTCGAGTTTTGAGAGAGGTTTCGGTCACCACTTTTTGAAAAACCAGGGCAAACTTACTGTAACGTTAGTACTAGTATCTACAGTACCTACCTATTACTATTAATATTATAGTAAGTATCCTAACGTTACTACTAGTAATACTACGTGTAGGTACAGTACTGTGTACTACTGTACTACTGTACTATTAATAATAGTATTGAGAGATGGTCGTTTTGTGGTTCTGCAAAAACACAAAATGGCAACCACGGTGCTGAATAATGAATGGTGCGTGCGTGGAGGGCAATGAGTAAGAGTGCCCAACAAGTTGACCAGGATTGTAAATATGTTTACATATACGTATAGTCGTTTGCATTTTGATACTCCGTCGTGGGATATCCCATCAACTTTTATTTTCAGATTCAAAAATCTACATTGTATACTGAAAGCCAGATAGATAGTTCTGTCGAATTTTCTGTCGCAATCATCCTTGGTCAGTGGATTCGTTCTTGCCAGCAGCGCACGAAATAAGTGCATTGGGATACATACTCGTTTGCAAGGACAAGAAGTAGAACTGGGATAAAGATATGGAGAGCGATGCAGTGACACATCCTGTGATCGTCGTGTTGGAGCCTGTTTTGCCATCGCAGCAAGGATCCCCCCATGCCGCTTAAATAGTACTAACGTTAGTACTGTAATAGTATGTATAGTACTCTAAACTGGTGGCGAAATTTAAAATAACTATTCACTTCCAAGCACATGTAGTCCTTCGCCACCAGATATCGGTACATGTAAGCCGCTGGTAACGTTACTATCCGATATAAGCTGTTACAGTACCAAAAGACTACTAGTGTACTACTACGAGTAAGCAACTATTAATAGCACAACTGCATTATTCACTAGTGTACACAATGTGGGGCTCTAAAAAAAGTGGGTGACCTCGCGAGAAGTGCCTCCGCCCGGGATTGAACCGGGGACCTTCTGTTTACAAGACAGATGCTCTACCACTGAGCCACAAAGGCGGGGCGACATTTGACATTTTTCAATGATTCAGTCTTATGGTTTGTACACACAAGTACAGTAGTATTACAGTACACTCTCGTCGCGCCATTTCAAGTCAATGCGAACAGCACCAAATCGGCATTCAACGATCGACCAATCAAAACCCAGAATCAAGAAGCCAATCAAATCCGCTCTTGGACCAATTCAACATTGAAAATTAGTGTGTAACTTCAAACTTGATGGTTTTTACAAAGTTCGTACAACGAATCGATCGATGGGGCTTGCGAATCCAAGGCCATTTGGGGTAAAAGGACAATCACTGTCAAGGGTCCTTTGCGTGCACCTTTGTATATGGACTATATTATATAGCTACTAAATCAATCCAAGGTAAAGTACTACTAGTCACTCGTTTTGTGTGTCGAGAGCTTTGCACTGGCCAGCGTATTCGTGTAGAACGTGCTTGAACAAGGGCGCGTCTGTCAATGTAGTCGGCATCTCCCGGCTGCTTTGTGCTGGGCCGGTGCTCGTCCGTTTAATGCGGCACGATTGATCCAACGTGACGTCGCCAAATCTATTTACCGTAGTTATAATTCCACATGACAGTTCGAAACCATATTACGCTTTCGATTATATATATAGCGTACTTGTATTCGTATTGGCAGTACTCTTCAAACGCACATTGAGCCCACAGGTAGTTCCAGTAACAATCGGCGTCGTGGTGTGGCGGTCGAAAGGCCTAACGTTATCCATATGATTAGGATTCGAATATATATACATGTATCCACAGGATTAACTAGAATATATATATATATATATATCCACGTGCCGTTACCTTGGGAGCATGGGCTCGCCCTGTGGCAAACGTTTGCTGCAATTCGTGCTTGAGTTCCCTCAAAAACGAAGGATGCGACAGGATTTCCCGATGCGGCACCTCGTCCAGCTCCCACACGCTTGTCTACTCCTCAAAAAAAGATATTTCACCCAATAAACAAATAACTATATTCCAACACAACCCAATAAACAAATAACTAGACAGCTAGTTCACTTCTTCGTACGTGTGTATGGGAGTCAGTGTATTCGTAAAACGTGATACTCGGGTCGGCACCCCCTGGCCACATGATATCGCTGAGAAAGGCGCGGCCGGACTGGTTGGAGCACCCAAAGCCGCCGGTGGGCGGGGGCTGGTCGTGGGAGTAGCTGCTAAACTGCACTCGATTGGACTGGGTGGTCACCACGTCCTGGGCGGTGAAGTATGGAGCTTGGGGGATGCGAGTGATTCCGATCACATCGCCCTAAATAATACATTCAAAATGACAAGAAATATAAGCCCCACTGGCGTCCCATGTCGTTCTTCGATGTACGTTCGGACAACTCGATGCATAAATATATATATATATATATTTGAAACACAACCATATCAACTGTATCAACAATCCATCCTTCCCATGAAGCTCTGTTTGAACCTTCCTCCGTACATACACGTGTGTACATCGCTCTCGATCCAAGAGTGCACAATACATTACATGATTTGTATACTATGTTGAATAAATATGAATTATATATATATATATCGCATATTATGTCAACACGAAAAACGAAATGGATATATTTTCTCACGCACCGGGTTTCCAAGCCAGGTATGGCCCCATGATAACGAGTCGTACCCGACGGTGCCGTCGCCCGTCTTGAAGCACGTGGTCGGATCGGGGGCTTCTGCAGAAACCAACGACGTTTCCCACCGCCCGACCTCGGTTTGGGTCAATGTGAAGCGATGACGCACCTAAATAGACTGTGAATTAATATTAAGTTTTTAATTCCATAGATAAAAACAAGGGCAAAAGTATTTCGCCAATCAGATTGCACAAAGTAGTCTGTTCAACCCACGAATTCGGGTGGAACTTCAATTTAGTGTGTGACTTCAATTAGTGTGACGGGCACCACCACTGGACATGTTTTTATATACAAAACATTCAAACTAGCGATCGATGAATTTGGCCAAAATAGCACAAAAGTCCAAATATTGACTGAAATCTAGAGCATCCATCTCCGGCAACGCTATGGAGCTGGAGACGCAAACAACACCAACTCACATTGCGCATTGATATTATCCTATCGATTCGAAACTGGACCCGCCAGCAGAATACTATTAATAGTACGAGAATGATTCAAAGAAACACCAAAGCCAATCAAAAAGTCGCGTTCTCTCGAATTTCGGCCAATCCAAAGTACTACTTGATAGATTCTACAGCTTGTATAGTTTGTACAAGCTTCAATACGGTCAAATGCTGCTATTGGTTAGTAATTGAGCCTCCAAAAGTCCAAATTTGGCAAAACGAAATCCAGAAGAACATTAACGACACTGGAAATCCATTTGAAATAGAGCAGTTCTATCTATGGCCAGAATGCATGATGCATTCATCACATGTACCGGTAACCCCGTGCCATAGATAATGTACACTGCCTTGATGGGCGGTCGCGTCCACGGAGTGTGCGGGTTCAATACAGGGTCGTTTGTGTAGTACCTACAGATATAAACATAGTAAAACCTTAATAGTACTCGAATTTAGAAGCAAATCTTGTTTTACGGGGATGGTAGTGTCCTTTCACCCAATTTTGCCAATTTTGGGGGATTGTTTTGAAATCACAAAGAAATCGAGCAAAGCAGTATGATTCGATAAAAAGAATTTATGTATGTATTTGCCATATGATTGGCTAAAACGAAAATGACTGGTCCCAACGATACTACTAAGAGTACCTCGAAACCTTTGATATATTATCATATTTCGCAGGTCCGGCGGTAGTTGGGCGGTTCATTCAACCAACCGCCCGAGGAAATGTTGAGTAGATCAAACTACAATACCAAAAGATAGACACAAACCCTATCATTACATATATATATATAATATATATATATATAGGTATATGCCGTACCGATCGAATAGATAAGCCAAGTCGTTGAAATGAGGATCCCATGCTTGCATCGCGCGATGGAACCGGCCGTTGGTGATGTCGGCCAGCGTGAAATTTTCACTTGTATACGTCTATAGGACCCTTACTATATGAGATGGAATACACAACTCTTTTTCAATGCTGGTTAAAACGAAAATATAAACTAATACTACGAAGTACATCATGAAATACAGGCCACCAATAGTACCGCAGTGTTGGTAAGAGGCCGAACCGTGACTAGCACTTCGTTGGCTTTGGGGTCGTCTGGGGATCGAGGAAACGGAAGCATCCATTGTGTGGATCCTGTGCGTCGATTGCTTCATATATATATATATATATAAACAATATCAAAATATAAATTTGTATACCAAATGTGACTTGGAGCTGCCGGAGAGACTCTTTTGCCAAGGGTAGCGTCACGGAACTTCCCGACGTGAGCGCTTCGATGGACTCGGAACTGCCGAGGAAGGGCGAACCAACCGCAAAGTAGGATGCAATATGCGAATCCAACCACGTCTACCGACCACTTATTAAAACATGTACACTAGTACATAGATCGGTCAAAATGGGACGTATGTGACATCGTTGTGCTTACCTGGTATGCGTCCGGGGTGTGCAATTGGCGTTGGAGCCATTCTAAAAAGTATCGAAACACATTGTTCCCTAGCGAATGCGCTAGGACTACAATGCCCTGGCTTTGGTTTTGCACCACAGCATCCTCAACTAGAGATTGTCATATATGCGGTGAGAATTTCCTGTCGACACGAACAAGGCGCTTCCCGGTATATATTTGTATGGTGGTCTCTCCAATGTTTGCCAGATATGCACATATGTTGTACGTACTCTTTTGCTGCAAAGTGTAGAAGAAGTGATCGCGTTCCTGTAGCTTGGACGGCGGGAGACGCCAGTCATACGATGCCACCATGAGCTGATGTGGCCCCAAGTCGAAATGTCCTGTCAAGGTTTCGATGACATTGCGCCATACAATACTCATGGGGCCCGTAAGGAGTCCTGGAGCTAGTTCCGCGATGGACGATATGCCTTCGCCCGCTCTACGAACAAAGCCATTAGTCGGTGGCTGGCCCAAGTGTCGAACCGAAGTTTGCAACTGATATCGGCTTGGTCTTCCACGCGCAGCGACATACACTTTAGCCAGCATTCCTGCTGTCCGATCAAATGAGCTAAGTTGACCCATACACCTAGGGGTACGCATGTCGATGAACTGGGGTTCGATCAAGGCAGCATACGATCGCCGACAGCCACGTCGTGCCCAAGGCCACTGCATCGCTCGCTTCGCCATGCATGCAGTTGTGTCGACGCGTAGCCAGGTATGAGCAGCACGGGAAGGACGGCTTCGTCTGGAGCTGACGTCACCAGTGTTGCGTTCAACACGGCCCCGACAAGCAAGCCAAGGCCGCTGAGCAGCTTCACCATACCGAATTTCGAATCCAGATGGATGTGGGTTTTGGGAAGGTCTATTTTTGGCTTATCCGGACATACCACATCACTATCCGGTCGTTGGTGTGAGCAAGTTGAGGATTAACGTTATAAATTATAATAACGTTAATACAGATAGCCTTCAAGAAAAAAGCTCGATGGTGTGCCAAGGAAGAGTTGGAGGCAATTCATTGGCAAAGAGCGATGCACGTTTTGAATTCATATCAACGTGTTCGAGCCACCAAGTTCCCAAACAAACGCTGTACTAACTACTGTAGTATACTACTGGTATAGTATATCGGAAATAATAAACGTTACTGCAACCCTTATCCGGATGAACTACAAACAAACTCGGAGTAAGATAACCCTGGAAACCTCCAAAAGTCCAAATATAAAGCCACTGTAAACCCCTTTTCGACGGAAACTCCTGGTTCTGTCCCTGATACTACTACTGGTACGTAGTCCTCTCGCTCTATCTCCCTTCACAAAGTCTTGCCACTTCCGTAAGAAGTATCCGAGTACGAAGTGCGCTGTGATTCGTGGATTCTCCGCGAATCAAAGCTTGTCGGCATTCGTATCCGGATTAATTATCCGTAGATTCCGGATACCGCGATTGGCAATGAGGCCGTTAGGTGCCAGCGGGACACTTGAGAGCGACCGTGCGTGAATGATGGAGCTGAGTTTCCGAGAAGGGCTGGCGTTTGGGTGGGAGGAGAGTGCCGTGGACCGGAGCTCATGGAGCGACGTGTCGGAGGCGGCGTTGAAGCGGTTGGAAGTGGCCAAGGAGAAGTTCACGACATTCGCGGCGATGCCCGCGACGCGGGATGGGTCGTACCACCAGGTCCTGTCACCGAGCGACCACTTGACCGAGGTAACATGGAGTCGGTTCAAGAAGTACTGCGAGGAGTGCGGATGGCTTGCGCGGCGCCGGAAGGCCACGGACGCCGAGAAGCAGCAGGCGCGAGAAACGCGCAAGGCGGCAGTGTACTTTGTCGATGCCAAGCTCCGCCACGTGACCATGACCGCCAAGCGTAAGCTGATGCAGGAAGTCGTCAGCCCCCAGCACATGATGTCCATGGAGAAGAAGCCGCGCGTCGGCGCAGGCGTCAAATGCAAGCAATGCGACCGCGAAGCGCTGCTCAAGAACTACGGATTCTGTGGCCATCATCGACCGACGTCGAGTTTTTATTCGATTTTACCCCCCCCAGCAGCCCCAAACCAAGCAAATCCAAGTACCGACCAAGACGGAGCTAGAAATGGGCTTGCAATGGCCACTCCAATGTGCAAAGGAGCGCGCGGCACGACGTGCAAAAAGTGCGACCAGCCTCCGCTGGAGAAGAACTATGGGTTTTGTGGCGTCCACCGCGCGAAAACGAGTGCCCCTACCAGTGCCGCGACCACCAACAATAGCAATAGCAATAGCAATAGCCATCACTCCGCGGCGGCGCTCGCAGGCATTGCAGTGTAAACGGCAACCTCGGTTAACTCGACACATAATTTGACCCAGATTTCACAAACACAGCTGTGGACGACTGTATAGTAGTATAGAACAATAAGTATTATGCGAATCTATCGAATAAACCAAACTGGCTTCAACCTGTCGTACGCCTGCCCCAAACATTACTGTAGTCGCTTCATCCCACGAGTATAGCGTTGCAGACTCACCAAATCAGAGGCTGCCATTGACCAACTCTCGTATTCGGCAGCAGAGGACAAACCCACCATTGCCGAAAACTACACGCGCAACTACCTCTCCACGGTAGACGTCGGCGTGGAAGCAGCTATGCTACTCGCGGAACTCATAGTGGCTTAGCAACCGTTGCCGAACGTAGCGAACTAGGACTTTTATGTCGACACGATGTCATTGTATACTCACACAGGACCAATAAAATAGAGATTTCACATAATACGGTCGCATATGATCCTTGTCCTTGTACACGGGCTCGCCTTCTGCCATGGGCTCGACTTGGCACAGATCTTGGTAGCATTGATTGGCGGAGAAGTCGACGAGCGTGGCTTGGGCGTTCGTGACTGCACGTTCCAAGATGGAAATGACCGATGCAAACGTTTGTCGAAACACCGAGCGTTTGATCGGGGTCACGGTTCCCACCGCATTCCCATTGACCATATTGCGGCCGCTGAACTCGGGGCCTTCGGGGTTCACAGTGGCAACAAACGCCTTCTTGCCTGACTGCACCAGCACCGCGAGCTCGGCCTGGAACATGTCGGCCATGGCCCCCCCTCTGCTGCACACCTGGGTACCAGGACGCGTGCGCGTACCAGACGCTGCCGGACGTCCAGTTGCGCTCGGGACCGAGCCGGCCCCGCCGCCCGCGCGCCAAAACTGGATCCAGTTTGAGCTGTAAAACACCACCGACGGCTGTAGGTCCCGCACAAGCGCGACGTCTCCCCCATGGCGACTATTGCAAGCCAGAGGGGGAGATCCATTGGCTGACCGAAACATGATCGTGGGGAACTTGGCAGCCCCGTTAACCGGGTCGGCCGCCACGGTCAGCTCCAGCAGTCGCTAGAACCGAGGCATGAGCATGTTGGCGTGCGAGTTGCCGAGCACGATCACGTTTGGGAGACTCGTGCCCCTCCGGTTAAGCACTTTCATCGTGTCCTCGGTGAGGGGTTCCGTGTACCCTTCGTATCCGTCGAGGGGATGCCAGTCTTCGATGCCCGCGAGGATCTTGGCAACCGTGGGGTCGCTCGTTCGAGGCGGTTTGCTCCAGTTCAAATGGACGCAGGTGGTGACTGTCGTGGATGTGTTGGTTGTGGCATTCACAATCACGGTAGTTGTGGTGGCTGCTGAGGTATCGTTCAAGTCATTTAGCACTGGAATACCTGCCACGCGTTGAGCAGGCAACGAGAACGACGCGGGCAAGTTGAACGCGGCAAGTGCGACGCCCCAAAGATGACCATGCATACGACCAAAATATTTTCGTACACGTCAATCGCAAGCAGTGATCATCAAGACGATGCATGAAATTGTGCGCCTGGCCTCGGAAGTGCAAAGGAAGAGAACCTCGTTGGGCACGATTGGATCAGTATTTCTTCATGGGCTTGGCGTCACCCTGTGCGCTGCTCTTGTACGCAGCGCATGTTGTGCAGCATTTGGTCATGGTGGGTGTAACGTTACGTTATGTCCCAAATCAAACGAACGATTGACTGTGAAAACCGAACCAGTGCCCCACCACACCACGACCGACTTCCTTCCAGCCAGTAGCTACAGTACATGTACAGGCACAGGTAGATGGCTAATCGTGTAAATGCGAACTGGAGTATTACATGATGGTCCTCTATGGATCTTCTTCGAGAGCATCCACTACCCTTTGTGTGCTTGTAGTATATGAAATTCAGTAGGCTTACTCAGTGAATTCGATTCTGCCATTAACAGTCCCTGAGGGCATCGAGGGAACTTCTAACGTGTCCGACCATTGATGGGCCAACTTTTCTTCATTTTTAATCTCAATTATTTCGGTTGTTTTTTGTTTTCCGAGTGGGAATGATACATTTTCGGATAGGTAATGATGAGTACTTTATGAATAACTCGAAGGATATAGATTTAAACAGTTTAGGAATGTACAGGATTTTTTTGAAGTCGAGCACTTTACACAGTCGACCATTGATGGGCCAACTTTTATACTTGAACTAATTATGAAGAATCCAAGTGTCAGTTTTTTTTCATCCAGCGAGAAATTACAATTAATAGAGGTTTACCAAATCTGAACAGGTATCACGTATTGGAATCTCAGTTGGAAAATAACATTTTCAATGTTATTGGCACACGTGGAATAATGTACACCTCATATTGTAACTCGTTTGTGCAATATAGCTCGTTTGTACAAACGTTTGTGCAAACGTTGGTGAGCA